AAAAAAAAAAAAAAAAAACCAGAGGTCAAAACAATTTGACCATCAAATTGGTTTTCAAAACAATGGACTTACATATTCGAACACCCGTATTCGGACACCTTATTATATTTGCTTACAGGGTGGAGCAACCTTTAAATAAGAGGTAGCATCCACTATAAGAAAATCCATATTTAGTGGTTAAATTATTGTCACTAAATCTTTATTTTTCGTCACAAATTAAAATTAGTAATAAAATTTAAATTATTAGTAAAACTTTTGTCACTAATGTTCTTAATGACGAATTTGGTACTTGTTACAGAAAAGAATTTTATGATAACAAAAAAAAATCTACATTATTAATGAGTTATTTGTAACAAATTTACTTGTCATAAAAAATATTTTTTGTTACAACAATTTTCATCACAAATGTCACAATTGAGTGACAAAAAAAGTAGTCATGAAAAATTACTGTAAAATAATTCTGTCACAAAAAAATTGATATATATATTTGTCACAAAAGTTTAATAAAAATATTATTATTTCAACACTAATAAATTTTGATTAAAATTAATCAATCTTGATTAAAATTAATTAAGCCCAAACTAAGTTCAAGTTTTATTGAGTTTCACAAATAGAGCTCAAATAGTCATTGGTTTTATAATGCAAAACTTTATTTTCTTAAATATTTCTTACTAATGTCAGATATATTTATAGTGTAAAATCTTGTTTTTTTATGTGTTTTTTTATTAATATGGGATGTATTGATTAGAGAAAAGTTGAATAAAGCTGAACTTTTTCTCAAGATATAGAATGACTATAAGACACAAGAAATAATGCAATAAATTCTAATTATTTACCTTTATAAATTGTTGTTTCATTTTGGAAGAAATATAGCTCCATAAATTTTTTTATCAAAAAAAAAAAAAAAAGAATACTAATTTTTGAAAAAAAGTACAAAAATACTCTAATCATTGTTAACATACATACTCCCAACTCATTTAGTTATAATTGATTCTCAATATATTTAATATTTATTTAATAACTGATGCTGCAGCAATATTGATTTTCATAAGATCAAAGGGGTTGGGGCTTTTAATCGTATCACCATACAATAAAAAATCAAATTAACACTATAATATATATTTTGAATACTCTCTAATGAAAAGTATTGAATCAATCACATAATTGAAAAGAAATCTCAAATTTTCATCAATTAATAGCTTAATATACCATTATGTAGACTTAAAAATTACCACACTTTTGCAAATTATATAGGTTATGTGATGAAAAATCAAGTTATACCCTCTACTCTTTTTATATATTATGTGTTTTTATTTTAGGTTGATGGATATACAATTGAAAGGTTCTTTTACATTACATTTTATTTTTATTGTTTCATTTCTTTACCACGGTCACGCCTCAAAACTCGAATTCGAGGCGTGACAGACGCCGTGTACTCGTGAGAGGGTTCCACAAATGCATAAGGCTCGGAACTTACTGAGTTCATATTTAGCAATTCAGGTAATTCAGATCTAAGCCTTTTTAATTACCAAATATTTACCAGTCAGATGTACAAAATTTATCACTTCATATATACAATCATGACTAACACTAAATTCTGTACACAAAATTTACTATGTCAAGCATGGGTGACTAACGGCTTAGCTACAAAAACCTAAGTCCAAAAGTGCCTAGCCGTCTAGCTCGTCACTCCCCTGGGCTTCCCACGCGTCGGGTCTCACTACCTGGAATGGCGGACAAGGAAACCGTGAGATAAAAATATCTCAGTAAGTAAACATGGGTGCCCAGAATCAAAATTTAAAGCATGCCAAATAATCGGTTGAACATAAACAGAGCATTTCAATAGCAAACCATTGATGCAAACTAAAATCACATAGTGGTCTCCTCTATTAGTCATGGCCAGTGTTATAAATCTCCCACTGGCAGGCACACAATTACTAGTGTATAATCCCACTAGTAGGATATCACGAGCGAACCGGTCCTATCACTGACATGTCGACATGTGCTAGCGTTTATGAACTACCCCCACTAGCAGGGTCACTAATACATGACCACATCGGAGACAAAACCCAACAAGATTTACAAAAAACCACGATTCACGATCATTCTTACTTTCAAAAATAAACCGAAGAATCTCATGTGGGCATGCTCAATTCCAGAAAATAAGGAAGATAATAAAAGTTCAATTTCTCTTTTTAATCATGCTCAAATGCAAATAAATCCATTTAAGCCTTGCCACCATCTCAGAAAACAATTAAAATATGCTTCAAAAAATTTAAGGACATTACCATAATTTACTTACCTTAATTACACAGGACAGAGGGCCTAATCCAAGTGCTAGGATCACGTAATCACAATATGTTCGAATTAATATCTATAAAGAAACTTTATTTCTTTATTTATTTTTATTTTTATTTTCTATCCGAAAATTGAGCATTTACCGGGATTGGGTATTTATCTATGTATCTACAATTATATCATTACACGTATACAATCTTCAAACTCATGGACAAGAATTTGGGAGAACCGGCCTTGACAAAAAAATGGCCAATTCACGAAATTCTCCCCTTTTTCTCTCGGACACACCCACAGCAGCCAAATTAAGGATTTTCTACTTAAATCATCAACCAACCCATCTTCAAATTGCCAAAACTCATCCCCCACCTCCGGCATGCTGTTTTTGGACAACCCAGACACCCTTACAACCAATTAAGCTCACAAGCAACAATTAATCCATCAATTTTCGAAGATTAGAGAAGCCAACTTACCAGAAATGCTCAGCAAGCAAGGCCGGAGCTGGCGGGTATGGGAGGAGCCGGCGGGAAAATTGGAGGACTTCCACGGGATTGCTAGAAATTGGAAGAACAAGAAGATTAGAGTGACCCAACATAAATCAAGGCTGAAAAGAAGAGTTTCGGGGCTGATTTTACCAGGAAAAACCGAACTCACACCCAGCTGTGGCCGGCGGCAGGGAAGGAAGAAGCAGAGCAGATCCGGGATTCCTGGGTTGAGGGAGAGAGTTTTAAGCTCTAAATCTTGTTATTTAACAAGAAAAAGGAAAGAATTTACCAAGATCTTACCAATTTTCGAGAGGAGTAGGTGTCGGTGAAGGCTGGTGGTGTTCGGCTGCAGAGGAAGAAAGAACAGAGCAGACGCGAAAATGGCTGGGAAAAGAAAGAAAGAAGAAAAGAAAGAGAAAGGGATGAGTCAGCCGGCCTTATCCAATAACCTTTTGACCCCTTTAGAGTTTGAAAAATTAAAGGTTAGATCCATTAATAATGTTTCCTCACCATTAAGTCCCTAACTCACACTTATTTGTTCTTGAAATTTTGGGGTATTACAACCACAATCCGGATGGGACGCTTCTCTGCTTTGAATTCTGCAGAGTGACCAATTCTAAACGCTTAGTATCGACACATGTAAAGATAGTGTCACATTCAATCCATGTCGGTTTTGATTCCTTTAGCAATTTCAATAATGGTAAAATTAGATCAGGTGCTTAATCTTTTCATTTATGAACTCTTTGATCCTAAAATTTTTAATTCATTCTTTTATAACCTTGGATTATAGTTTTTATTATTGTCATATAGTCTTTAAAATTTTAAAATATTTTAACATAAGCTCCAAAACTTAAGTTATTTGCATTGAAATCCTTTTTAAAAATTTCAATTTCCCTATTGTCATACATAACTTTTTCCCTCCCTTGTCATATTTTTACCAAAAATATCTTAATTTTTATCATGTATGCAGGTTGTTAAGTATATTATTTGGCGTGTATTATTTGTTTGAAATTTATTTAGATAACATTATAGATTTGTGATGAGTTTTAGGGATGAATTTTATTATCAAAAGTTTATATTTTAACTATAATTATTTTTTAGAGAAAAAATATCTCTTTAATAACTAATTTTTAGTTATCATTGAATATGTAAACATTTGTGACCTAAAGTTAAAATATGTCAAAATTGTGATGAGTTGTAGTTATGATTTTTATCATCACTAATATGTTTTTTTTTTTTTTGATAAATTTTAGTGACGAAATATATTTTTAGTGATGAATTATTTGGTCATTATTAAACATGTAGTATATGTGATCAATATTTGAAGTTTATCTTAATTGAGATGAGTTATAGCGATAATTTTTATTGTTACAAACTTGTTTTTTATTTGTAATCATTTTTCAATGATGAAATATCTTTTTAGTGATGAAATTTTTTATCATTATTGAACATATATACATCTATAACTAATTTTTAAAATTTGTCATAAATGTAATGTATAATAGTGTTGATTTCAACATTCGTTACAAATTTTGGTCACAAAAAATCACATTTCTTGTAGTGATCGTGTTGTAAATGCAAGAGTATACCTAAGTTTAAAATTTTTAGAGTTTAGCATATAGGTTGTTACTTGTTAAGGTTTAGGCTTTTTAGGATTTAGTGTTTAAATTCTTTTGAGATTCAGTATTCAAGATGTAAGGGTTTAATATTTTTTTAAGGATAATGATTGGTCCACACCCAGATTCAATACCCGGGTGTGCACATTCCACATAAAAAAAAAAGGACCGGGTGTTCTCTATTTTATTTTTTTATGCGGAGTGTGCACACCCGGGTGTTGAATCCGGGTGTGCACACATCATTTTCCTTTTTTTAATCATAAGTTGTACAATAAAAAATAACCTTTTTTATCCCTAAATCTATCTCATTTTTATGTCATGCAACTCAATTTCATAATCTCTTGCTTTCATTAGAATAAGAAAATTATTAGTAAATTACTTAAAATTTAGATTTTTTAAGGTTTATTATTGTTTGATATTTAAAAATTTATTGTCTAATAGATTTAGAATTAAAAATTACTATATGATTTAAAAATACTAATACTAAAATATATCAAATTTTAAAAAATAATAATAACATGAGTCATATTATTTAAATATTAATTAATAAATCTTTTATTATTTATTCTTTTCGTTTATTTTTAGCAAATTTAGGTTCCTATTTAGAACGCATAAATTTAGTTATCTATTTTTTCATTTTAAGTTATCATTTAGTACGTTTATTTTTATTTTACCCAATTTTTAAAAAATAATTACAATATATATTAAATAAAAAATTTTATTTAAGCAGTAGTTAATTAAGAATAAATATGAAAATTTATTAATAAATTATTATATTTCTATTTTATTAAATAAAAAACTAAATTTATTAAAAATAAATGAAAGAAATAATAATTAACTTTTTTTATTTTATAGTTTTGTCTAATATGTGCCTTTATGGCACAAGTTAAAAGTACAACAAATATATCTGTTTACAGTTAATTTAAATAAAAATACAAAAAATTGACATTTATTTTAATATAATTGTTACGTGAATAATTTTAATTAGTTAATTAATTAAATTAAAGTCAATATTTATATTTTCATGTAACTTAATTACAAAAAAATGTAATAATATTTTAATCTTAAAGACATATGATATAAAACTTTTATTTTATTATGATTTATGATATTATATATATCAATTTATTTAATAATATAATTTATATTAAATCATTAATTTTAAATTTTAATTCCAAATTATAATCTTTTATATCACTATTCATCTAAAAAATGAAAAATAAAAAAAGCTATAGGGACCCATCATATTACTACTCATCCAAAAAATGAAAAATAAAAAAGCTTTACGAACCCATCGGCCTGGGGACCCATTATTCCCCATGGCATTATACACGTGGCCTAGTAATACCGCATCTTAAATCCCGCCTCTCCGAAAATACTGGAAGTGGAACACAGATGCTAAAATCCAAAACAAGCAAACAGATGCTTCGCTGGCGGACCACACCTATCCTTCCATTCAGGACAATGATAATTACATATTTTTTTAATAAGTTTTAATTTAAAAATACTGATTACTAGTAGAGCTAGAATCCTTTGCTTTCTGTGCTGCCGGCCTTAATAAATAAACTAGAACTAATTTCAGATGATTAATTTAACAGCAAAAAATGAGAGGATGATAGCAGTAGTCATTGTGATTTTATCTTATAAATATAAAAATGGATTTTTTTTATTAAAGGATTTTTTTAACTAGCCTTATTAGGTTAAAAGTTAAGGTATATATAATTTTACATTAATTGGTATTAAAATAATAAAAATTAATATTATTTTCATCAACAAAATATATGAATTATTTTAAATAAATAATTAATTAATTAAGTATTAATCTTAGTACTAATTAATGTAAAAAAATGTTTACTTAATTTACCCAAAGAAACTTAAAAATATATTTTATTTAGGGCATGTAAAAATTTATCATACAATTAAAATCATTTACCATTTGAGAAATAATCAAAAACTCATTTAATAAATGATCTTGTTTTGACCATTTTAATATTATGACATTTTAATTTTCACTTCTTTATTTTATTTAAAAAAAACAAAAAAAATAAAAAAATAAATTTATAATTTAATTAATTAAAAAATCCAATCCTTTTCACCTCTAAAACCAAATATACCTTAAATTAGAACCTGGCCTAAGTGGCTTTAGTCACACAAAGGTTCATACCCTCTCCAGGTCATCGGTTCAAACCGGTTCACGACAAAATGTTCAAAAAAAAATATGCCTTAAATTAAATTGGAAAAAATTTTAGTACTGAAAATGCATTTTGGGTCGATAAGAACGGACCCGTAGGTTTTAGATGAGTTAGAACAGCTGATAAAAAGAGGTCAAAAATTTTTCTAGATTGGGGGAAGGATTGAGTGAAGAAGAAGGGGAAGATGGAGGTGGGATTTCTGGGACTTGGTATCATGGGAAAAGCTATGTCTATGAATTTGCTGCGGAATGGATTCAAAGTCACTGTTTGGAACCGGACACTAGCAAAGGTATTGACATTCCCTCCTGGAAAATGGGGTTTTGTTTCTACTCTGTTTTATTGAATATTTTGCATTTACATGTGATACCTGATTTTGAGATTATGCTTTCATGCGGATTATTTGATCTGACAAATGGGATTTTCACTTGAGGAAAAAGGTTTTTTTTTTTTTTTTTTTTAAGATGGAATAGTGAATGAAGGTTGAACTAATTGCTTCAGCTTTTCGGAGTGTAAAGTATACTGTTTGACTCCAAATTTTAAAACTTTTTCATATTTTTGGTGTGAAGATTAATATTCTGGGTTCAAATTATCTTTATTTTCAGTGAAATATCTACTCTTTTGATATAGTAAATACTAAATAGCTTGTGAATAGGCTCGCACTGATCACCAACTTCTGACCTTGAATATGTAATTGCAGTGTAATGAACTGGTGGCTCATGGTGCCTCTGTTGGAGAAACCCCTGCAGCTGTAGTTAAGAAGTGCAAGATTACAATTGCTATGTTGTCTGATCCTGCTGCTGCTCTTTCGGTTAGTAAATCCATTTTCTGTGTTTTAACATTTCTAATCCTTCTTCCATTCTCATTTTTGTTTGACTCTTATCATTACAATGCAATGTTTGGTGGTTGCTTAGGTTGTTTTTGATAAAGATGGTGTCCTGGAGCAAATTTGCAGTGGTAAAGGTTACATTGACATGTCCACGGTTGATGCTGAGACTTCTTCAAAGATTAGTGAGGTTAGCAAAAGTGTCTGAACCTGATTGATAGGTTCTCCTATAATGTTGGAAACTTTAGCAAGTGAGAGGATCTTCCTGATGTTGTTGTGGAATCTAACTCAATAGAATAATAATGAGGTTTAAATGTCATTTTAACTATGAAAGTGATGACTTGCAATTCTCATAATGATCTGGCAAAGTTATGAGTATTTACATTGTAGTGACAAAAAAACTGCTCTCTGATCAATTCTTGACACTGACAATTGTCATCATAAATCTATTTGTGTCTGAAGTATAAACTTTGCTGTACGTACACTTGTTAAGTAAAGGACTAGACTAGTATTGCATAGACTATTCCAAGGTTCTTAATACTATTGTCCTTGTCTGCTATCTGATAATGATCAAACTTTAAATTCTTGAGGGCTCAACAGACCTGGCTCTACTTTAACTTTATATGATATTTCTTTTTAATTGGTGACTTACCTGTTAAATATTGAAGTTTGTGAGGATGGTGGAATATATAACATGCATTATCTGCAGGCAATAATATCAAATGGCGGTCACTTCCTAGAGGCTCCAGTTTCAGGTAGCAAGCAACCTGCAGAAACTGGTCAACTGGTAATACTTGCTGCTGGAGAGAAGGTAACCTTCAGATGTTTGCTCATCCCCTATCCATTTGGGTTTACCCTTCTGGTTTACTCTTGCTAAAAATTCACTTCAAGATATTGGGTGGGACAGAGTTGTTAAAAATGATAACTTCCATGCGAAGCTTTTCTTGGACCAAGAGCAGTTGCAGACATGCTAGGTCAAAGTGGAAGACCAGCTCTATACTCCTGAACTTATGTGCTAGTCTTAACTACCTCTGCACATTAACTTTAGGTAATACTTTTATATAGGATATGAATGGCAAATACTTGTTTGTGTTTAGAATTTTCACATGATCAAAAAAATTAAATAAATAACTTTCATTCATATGCTGTATAAGAGCATTAGCTTACATTACGTGCAGAGGTAGTGGAGAGTTATGCGGGCAGATAAATAGGAACAAAGGAACTAGATAGTTTTATGCAAATAAGTCCACTTCGATATTTCAAGGCAATGTAAGAGCAAAAGAGTATTAGGATTACTGTCATTTAGACTGAGTGAACCAGGTTCTTAAGTCCTAGAAGGATTGCCATTTTGAAAGAGGAAAAGAATGGGAGAGGCAAAGAGGAAGCTATTTATTGTTTCCATTTTTATCTCACATCAACAAAAGCAAACATGTCTTCCATTTGAGACGAGATTCAAATCATTTTTCAACTGTCAACTTCATCCTGTGCCTTTTGTGAATCTAGGGCATTTTATCCTTTTCCACCAAATCAACAAAGGTGTTCATTGGCCTTTGTCTTTCCAAGCCTGAGTCCTTGAAATATCATTTTCTTTTTCAAAAGTGCATTCAAAATTTATCTTTGTTATATTAACCAAATAAATGCATCTCATTCTTAATTTGCTCATTTCATATTCTTCATGAGTAAACTGACATGAATCCATCTGTATGTGTTACCACTTGTTTTTAAAATGAACTTACTGTGTTAAATTGGTTCTAGACGGACGAATCCCCAAACTAAGGTTTTAATTATTGTTTAATTTGTTGCTTGGGCCTCGAAGATGTGCAATCTACTCATTTAATCATTCGAGAAATGATTCATGGACATGATTTTATGATAATTTCTCAGCTTCTTCATTTAACAATATCTGTTTCTGTCAAATGGCATTGACACTCAAATGGGATGATTTCCTGATTTATTATATTTATTTTCATAGAAAGAAAATTTGAAAGTATATAGAGTAGTTGATAAAAGAATGCATAACATTTGTTTCTTCACTTTTGCTCTATGTTTTTTATGATTGGCAATCTTATCATCATCTGTCTAATGTTGATTGCATATGTCATCATTTGTGTTTTTAGGCGTTGTATGATGAAGCAATTCCAGCTTTCAATGTCTTGGGAAAGAAGTCTTTCTTTTTGGGGCAGGTTGGAAACGGAGCAAAAATGAAACTTGTTGTCAACATGATAATGGGAAGGTAATGGTCACTGTTTGTCTGTTTGTACCTTCTTCCAGGCACTGAAGGTGATTTTTACTTTTGTTATGTAAATGTAAGACAAATTTTCTAAAAGCTAGAAAAGGTGGAAAAAATGTGATGATTCTTTGAACTTGTTTGAATTGTCAGTTCTTTATGGTGTAGTTCAGTGAATATGAAATGTTGAGGGCAAGAAAGAGTAAATGCAAATAGGATATGATATTTTTACTCTTGAAGACATATATGGCTGCTACCTATTGGGAATTAGCATTTTCTGTATGTTTTTGGGTTCTCTGGCTACTTTTATCACATTTACCTTGAAAGTTCACTGTCTTTGAAGTTTTTGTCATTAAATTTAGTGTAAGAGCATGTTTGGTTCAGCTTCCAAGTGCTTCAGCTTTTGGACACTATTCATGTTTCATAAATTTAAATTTTCCTCTTAAAAACTTATATTTTTAAACTTTTTTTTAACCTTAAAAAGACCCTAAACAGTAAAAGCTCAAAAGTTTCAAACTTTTGCTTTTCATAAACTTTCTTTTTACTCACTTTTTACTCACTTTTTCATATCTCTAAAAGCAACTTTTAAATTTTCCTTCCAATAAAAATTTAAACTTATCACTTATGAACAGTAAAAAAGAGTAAAAGCTTTTACAAGCGTAACCCAAACATGCTCTAAGTTTCAACAAAATATTGGTCTACATCTTTTCTTAGGCAAATTCTGTTTTTAAATTGTTTAAAAACCACTAGATATGTCTTTTATTTATTTCTTTATTGGTGTGTGGGATAATGTCTGCAGGTCCCGAAGCAAGTAGAAGCTGTCTAATTTGAAATAAATGATCATCAGTCAATAGGTAGATAATTGGTGATAGATTATTTATTATGAAGTTAAAGTTGCAGCTTGGTCTGCATTTGAGTTGGTACCCTGCTCTTTCTGAGGGGACCTTGAGCAGTGTAGGGTATAGATAATGAGATTTCATATGATGAGAATAACCAGGGCTGCCATTTCTGCTGGAATTACATTCAAATATGCAGAAAAACTGAGGTCACTCCATTAGTTTTCAGTAGTTCAAATTGCTTGATTGAAATGTTGCTGAAAAATTATATTAAAGTAATTGCATAATTTAACCATCTTCTGTATGGCTCAATAGAGAACACAGTACTTGGTTGTCCTAAGGTGGCGGTACTGTTTTCTAATGATACTAAAAGAAGATATAAATCATTATGCATGAAACAAAAGTTTGTAAGGATAATATGGTCTGAGAATTATTTGCCCCTAAAAAAAATTGCATTATATCTGGTTGACATTGACTAGCTTGTTCTATCATCTGAGATGATTATTTATGTAATCAAAATGTGGTCTGTTTGTTGTGTGGCTCTTTGCAGTATGATGAATGCTTTTTCTGAGGGACTTGTATTGGCTGAGAAATGTGGGCTGGATTCACATAGTCTTCTTGATGTTCTGGTGAGCTAGCAACCTTAAAAATATTGGGTGACCTTGTATGAACATAGCAAAGTGTTTTTGTTTTTCTTATTTTGCTTTTTTGGCCAACAAGAAGATCAAAGATTAATGGATGACATTTTGGCAGGACTTGGGTGGGATGGCTAATCCTATGTTCAGGGGAAAAGGACCCGCCATGTTAAAAACTGACTTCTCCCCTGCTTTTCCTTTGAAACATCAGCAGAAGGATATGAGGTTGGCTCTTTCCCTTGGGGATGAAAATGCAGTATCAATGCCAGTAGCAGCTGCTGCCAATGAGGTAGTGCTTTTCTTTCACATTTATTTGCACTTCTTAATGCTTATACATATCATAGTGCTGAGTTCTAATCCCACATTTATATTCCAATTAGGTTCTAAAAATCATAAGTTTAATATAGTTAGATAAGCCCTTAGTTCCCAATACAGGAAGAGTATAAAAGCGACAGAGTTATGATATCTCGGGGAATGGCACTATTCAAAACTTGAATAAAGAGAATGTTCATGCAGTATTTTAGTATGAACATGCATCTTAGGTCAATCACCTAAAAACTAGTGTTGTAGTAAGCACTAGGCAATGGAGGGCACCTAGCTTCTAGGCGTTTTTCTTTTTCTGAGTCAGAAAAAAAATTAGAAAATAAAAATAAAAATAAAGAAAAATGGTGCCCACCCATGTGTTCTAGGCATTGCCAAGTGCCTGGCTCACTGCCTAGAGCCTTGGCATGCTTTTTACAGGACGTTAAATATCGGACTTGATGGGGAGACATGAAATTTTTTTTATTTTGATTAACCACTATTCAAGGAATTAATCCATTAGTAACTTAAGGTCTCTACGTTTTGGTTATGTTAATTAATTCTTAAGTGCCAGTGACTAAATTTTATGAAATTTAAACTTTGATATTCATTTTGACTGTAGGCATTCAAGAAGGCCAGAAGCATGGGATTGGGGGATCTTGACTTTTCAGCTGTTTATGAGACTGTCAAAATAACTAAACAATAATGTTGATGTTGAAGAAATACTTAAAAGAGCACTGAGCTTCAATTGCGCAGATGATTTGGAAGGTGCTCCAACCTGGCGACGTATGGCTAGTTCCTCAGCATGCAATCATCTGTTTCACATCACATGTGAAGTTTCTTTCTTGAGTAGCTATATTATTATTACTGCATCAAGGGACTCATGGCAAACGCTTAATGCTATAGCATCTAAAATATCTGGTTTGAATCCGAACGGTTTGTGTGGATGTTTGAGAATAAGTTTGTATCTTATCATTCAGGTTCTTATAATTTCCTTGATGATAATGATCCCAATAGTTTGAATACTTATCAAAAACACCCTTCTAAACAATAACAGACCAAACAAGCTTGGTAACTGGCTCTGATGGGACGATATACCCCAGTTTACACTAATTTTTAATTTATGTTTTCCTTCTCAAATTTTACTTTAATTTTCTTTTCGAATTTCGACTTATCCAAACAAGGGGAGAAAAATGGGTTGGATCTTCTGGTCCAATAGTTCATTTTCAAGTTTTAGTGCTTGAATTTAGTTGATTAAGAATTTAATTTTCACAAATGATTTGAAAAAATTTCATATTCTCTCATAATTTCCCATGTTCAAAAAAAAAAATGAGGGGAGAAAAATGAAAGCATAACAATAGTGAAATTGGAAGGGTAACAATATCTTTCCCCTCTCCTACTTTCCCCTCTCCTACTTTCCCCTTACTTCCTTCGAATCAGCTATAAAAGTTCTAATCGTCAGATTTATTGTTCCATTACCAAAATAAAATGGTGAGTATACATCAGTAAAGTGGCATTCCCCTGCTACAAAGACCTGCAACATTTCTTTTCTACAAGAGGGTAATATATAGGCATTCATGCAACCAAAAAGGGCATGCTATGTCAGTTGCGTTCCATAACCCTACATTTCCTAAATATTTATATTACCACTTATGCTGTACAATTTCTAAACAAACTCAAATTGCTTCAGTACAGCAGATAATAAAAAAAAGAAAACAAGGTTGAAACTCAGCTCTGTACAATCTTTTGCCTTTATGCCTTCATTGCTTCCATTTGAACTCAAAATGCGTCAAAAAGTCCAAGAGCCATAGCCAGGGCAATTTGGTGCGGGATGCCTCCTATAAGCAAATGAGATTCCCACCAGCATGATCTTCAGCTAAAGACTCGATCTGCGTAGAAGATCGCTTACCTGAACGCACTTCTCGATATCAGATGAAATAAATATTACATATCTAATCACTAAAAGAAATAGAGGTACTGACCCCTACTTGGCAAGGAAAAAGGTAAAATATATGTAAAATATATATACATATATATATATATATATATATATACTGAAAATCGCAAGAACAGTTTATCGTGAGAAAATTAGACAACAGAATAAAAAAATGTGCACGCTGCAATCAAATACTCTTGTTAAGAACATGTCCAGTCTAAATTCTACCAATCCTCTCTTCCAAATATGTCCAACCTAAATCCTACCAATTCTCTCTTCCAAATTGCAGGCAGTAATATCGGAGTGCAATCATAGCTGAGAAGCAATACAGCTCGTCTTGCTACTCATTTCGAAGGCTTCATAGATGTAGTCCTGTAGATGGATCTGGTTCGCTTTGGTGCTTGCTGGACAGGAGAATGTGGAAGTATGGGCATGTTGATTTGGGATAGATCTTTTACTCAATATAATTTTCCATGGACATTGATTAATCATTCTCTAATATTCTTACCAAACTGACACCCTACATCAGTTGGTGCTCCCATCAGCAGGGAAGGAGAGGAGGGGAGAAAGGAAGAGAGAAAGAAGTATTGAGTTAGACGGAGAAATAGATATTTTCTGAGAACATATTTAGCTTTTCTGTTAAAAAATTAATGGTCACACCCCCTTCAGGATGGATTCATTAAACCTCAGGTGGTTATTGGTTGGCCACCTTCCAAAACAAAGGAAGCAAAGCTTACCCACCCTCCCAAACCAACAAAGGTGGCAAATGTAATTTGCTCAAAAAACTAATACGTGACAGAAATTTGTAATCTTGAGAATGAAGATTCAATCACAAAGTGGAACATCTTCAAAATGTGTTTTCTATTTTTGGATCTTCATCAGTTATTGATTAAGAAAAATAAAATTGACATGCAAACCCAGAAAGGCAATGCAGGACTATAGACTCCAGCTTCTCAATCTTATAGGATTAACTACAACAAAATTGCTCACACCAAACCCAAACATAAAATAGCTCATGGTTCAAACTCCACTTTCTAATGATTAGATTACTTGTCAAAAATTTTCTTAACACAAAATATCCTGAAATCACAATTTCCAAAATTTACTAAGACAAAGGACTTAGGGTGCATTTGGGATTGCAGTTGAGAGCTTTTTCCTAAGGCCATATAGTGCTTTTAGATGCGTATTTGGTAAATTTTTTTTACTGCTTTTTCTAAAAGCTGCACAAAAAGCCATAGCAGATTTACAGCAATTTTATATATAAATCCACAAGTCTCATTTTGGAGCTTTCTGGCTGTAACTTTCACAAATAACACCTAATATTTAATACAATTACAAAATTATCCATTAAAACTCAATCTTATTTAATTCAATTACATCATAATTTATAATATTTTATTTAAATTTAACCTCTTGTTTATTTAAAGATTTCATAAAAAATTAAAAACACATTCTTTCTTTATGAGTTACTCATGAAACTAGAAAAACACCCGTTATAAAAAACCTAAAAAACCTATATTATTAAGAAGTAGTAGATGTTATCTATTTTAATAATTATATATCATACAATATTTTTTAAATTTTAATTAATAATTAATAACATTTACCATATTTCATCCATAATACTTTTAATAAATAACTAACTAAACACCAAAATAACTTTCGGCCATAGTTACAGCATAGTACAGCACAGTTCAACACAGCTACAGCCATAGCACCTCACAACAATCTCAAACGCACCCTTACTCTGTTTCATCAACTTCAGTACCACAGATTGTATGTCTATAAAGAAAATGCATCTACTTAGTTGCTACCTATCAAAAGTTAGGATCGTAATCCATGTCATATTTAATAGCAATCTAGATTCTCAACATATTAGAAAATGCTGGGCATATCTAGCAGCCAAATTAAAGCATCATTACCCAAAAAATAAAAAAAGAAAAAGAGTTGACCCTGTGACATAAATGGAAAACCAACCATTAAAAAAACTGCTCCATTGACACAAAAAATTGATAGAGGAATTTACCTGAACATCCACTCCTGATTGCCTGCTTCTTTCTAGTATTAACCTTTTCCAAATATGGGGCAATTAGTGCATCCAGTTTTACCAACCAGAGTGCAATCGCCGATGAGGTCTGGGGCATGGTTGGAAAGCACACTACAATTTCTTCAATAACAGTAAAAGAACCTTCTTCAACAATATAATGATTCAACCAATCCTCATTAATTGCAGCAACAAAATCAGCAAGAACCTGTAAAATTATTTGAGATGTGCTATTCAGAAAATTACAACAATTTGAGATTAGCCTCAAAATATACACTACATACAATAAACAGTCAAACTACTTATCAAAAAAAGTAAATGGAAAGATGAAAAAGAGCATGACCTGCAAAAGCTCAGACAAAGATGAGGTGCGTCTTAGTCGTCTGACCCATAACCTATGAGCAGACTTTGTCCAAGCACCCACCAAAGCTTCTTCTGGCATAATTGACTGCATATGATATAAGAAAAAAAAGAAGAGGGTGTTTAATGATAATAATGCAAAAGTTTATTCAGAACAATGATGCACTTTTCTCTCACATGAACAATAATGTCTGAATCTATGTGAAGCTATTCATGTAGGTGTTCTTAACAATTCAGCAATAGTCACCATAAAGCAATGATAGGTTTTGTAGTCATCTAAAAAAATATTATATCAACACAAAAATTATGCATGGTTAACAAATAAGAAGATATTCACTTTTCATGTGCCATTGTACTCTCTCTATAAGCTAGACTTCTCTCTCTATAAGCTAGACTTCAATACCATCAAACAGGTAGAATCCAACTTTCCCGTGTATCCTTTGTAAAATTCCCATTAGTGAAATTTTCTTTTCTAGAACCTTCCAATAAATTACTATTTGTTCATCTTAAATTGCAGAAAACAGTGCCCCCATCGTCAAGGACATCCAATGTTGAAATTTCAATAATAATCTAATATTAAAGGGCCAGAAAAGGCACCCAATTTGTTTTAGGAGGCTCTAACTTCACCACAAAAATCAGCCCCAAATATAGCAAAATAATGGTAATGAAGAGATAAATGCCTATCTCAGGGTTGTTTCTCAACATAAAATTTTGGGAGATAAACTGTAAACAAGCATATTTAAACTGCATCACAGGCCAAAACCCCATGCCATCTAAATGCATGTCCATAATGCTACATGCATATTATGCTGGGAAAGCATGCATGTACTATAGTTGATAACATCAGATATCTAAAATCAAAAGCTTGGTTACCATTGTTCTATTACATTTTATACATAGATGCATAAGAAAAATAGTTAAGAGAAAGCAAACGCTCAAATGATAGCATACCTCAATGGCATGAACAGCAGCTTTCAGTGATTGCAACTGTGATGATAGGACTTTATGTGGAAAAATGTCATTCTCTTTCTCTCTACACGTAGCTGCATGAACAGCATATCTTTCTTCTAGATCAAAGTCAAGCTCAAATGTAGTATGACAAATCTTACAATGCTTCTCATCTCTCCAGTACAAATCATGACATCTTTCGCATCTAGTAAGTGAATCCACATAAGACCGTTTACCAAGTTTTACAGCATTTAGATTTAAGTAAAAATAATCCCATATCCAACCATCATATTCATGGAGACGTCTCCATTTTCGTTTTTGTTCTTCTCCCTTCTTTCCTGCTTCAAGAACTATAGCACCACATTGGGCTGAAGTGTCATTCACACCCTGAGTTATGCTATTGTCAATTCCAGACACAGGAGAAGAACTATCCTCTCTAACGATATCCAACTCAGATGAATCAGAATGTGTGTGCATGGATTCTACATTATTTGACAATCTACTTAACATTGCTTGGCAAAGAGGAGCTTCTCTTTTCTCTAAAGATTCAATAAGGAGAGCTTCTCGTCTACCCCTATCATCCAAAATTGACAACAAGGCACGCAAAGCCTGCACCAGGATTATTTAAGCAGAAATAAATTACAGGAAAAATGATTAGGAAAAATAACAGATCATACCAAAATGTGAAAAGGGACTTAGCTTTCTCACATTTGTGTAGAAACAGAACACTATCAGAAAGTTCTCAAAAATAAGAAAGGGGAAGGGCCAAAAGTTAAGTGAAAGACAGAGTTACCTCTTCTGAGTCAATCACTTGCCAGTGACCATCTTCTGAAGATTCAAAGTAAATCCTCCTGTGTCCAGGGTCACATTCATTACAAGGGCCCAAGAAAAGCCAATATCTATTATACCTCCTATCAGCGCCTAAAAATATAGATTGCATTGGATGTAAATCCACCCCAGCTTTTGTTTCTCTAGCATCATCCCTATTGCTAGACGATTTCTCCATTTCATAGAATTTTGAAATTGTTAAGGATGAATCAACTGGACAAGATTCTGGCAATGTGCATGCTTGGAAACCATTTTTCTGTCCAACATGGAGCCATGATGGTCTAGAAAACTTCTGTTGGTTCAATGATGCTCTCTTTATTTTTGCTCCAGAACCATGAGAATAGATGTTTGGAACCCACTCGACAACCGTTTTTGCTGGATTCTGAAACAAGAAAAGGCTAATTAACATTATGTACCCAAATATAAATTAAACCCATCTTACGAAATAAAGGCAAGAAAATTAACCTAAGAGATCTTGACATTATAGATATCATGCCAACTGGGAAAACACATAAGAACCACCTAACTGCCTGGATTCTCATTAATGAAATCCTTGCAATTTATTGATGACAGTTGATCAACCAAAACCAGTCATTATATCCATTTTGGGTTCTCTAAAGATTCATATTACAAAACTAATTAAAGATCCACTCTTAAATTGAGTTATCTAGTAAGAATTGCAGGTTATTCAATAACAGATCCCAATCATAAAAACAAAGGAAAGGAGAGACAAAAGAAGACAGAAATAAAACTGAAACCAAAAGGTGACTTACAGCTAAAATGGGGCACACTTACCTCAGTTCTTATACTGGAACTAGCACTAAGGAGATCAGTTAAAGCCACAAGGGCATTCAACTTCTCTTCAATGCTGAGGTCTGAATATTCACCTTCCATGAGTCCTAACAACCATACTTCTCCTGGATTGCTCTCATCAATTTCATTGTTAACTGTTAGCATACTTTTCCTACATTTATAGCAATTATTATGCTTCACTTTTTGTTGACAGGAATTTTCTGAATCAAAGTCAGAATCATCGCTGCTGCTACATGCAACACTTTGACCAGAGTCATCATCAATACTTCCAGAGTCTTCACTATCTGATTGAAAATCATCTGCCTCTTTTGCAATAGAAACAGCACGCAGACGGTATGCAGCTAATGAGATCTTTTCAAACAAAGTTATATCACTTGAAAGGGTAGAGCAAATTAATTGTTCTAGTTCCTCCGCCGTGTTGTCAAGATTCAGTTTAGTGATCTTCCAAAAGGAAACAAAAAGAAAATGTCAACCAAACAAATCCAGCATAATACTAACAATAAAGATGTCGACTTATTGAACATTCCCTCAACTCCTAATCTTACTGGTGAAGATTTTGCCAAGGCAGAGACTTTCATTCCCCTATTTCCTTGCTCAGACAACAGTCTAAACAGCTCACCCTTTAAGGTATCAGGACATAGGCCATACTTCACCATGAGGCTCATTTCCTAGATTACCCACAAGAAAGATAAAATTTTAGAATCCATAATTAATAAAAATTTCCAAATTCCAAAAGCTAAATTCCAGAAAAATTTTAAATCTATATCACAGTAAATAATAATAATAATAATAATAATAACAATAATAACAATAATAATAAAATGATAAGAGATATAAAGAAAGCGTAAAAATAAGTTAAGGGTACATGGATATGTCACAAAAACATAATTAAAAGTAAAGATGACATCAAAGTTATAATATACGCCATACGTCAATGGTCGTAGGATTAGTTTGTTCTAAGTCTTAACCCTTTAACTTTTTCAATTTTGTTGATCTGCTTCGGTTTTCTAAGCAATGTTACAGTTGAAATACATATTATAAGCAGTAATAACTAACATGATACCCACCATTCTGCATGAAAGAGTTATGCATCACACATACGTCACATTTCCCCACAAAGTCATTTTTTACATAAGGATATTAAAATATTTTAATTGACTATTGCCAACCTTCAATTAAATGTATTTAATAAAAGTTTTTCTCAACCATCAGCTGCTATCAGCCTAAAGCAGAAGAAAGTGAGAAACCCAAGGCCAAATAATAAGAACCAAAGAAAAATCTGACCCAAACTCCCAACCAAAGATAAAACAAGGGTTTCCTACATTAGCAAGCCAACAAAGAGGAGGATGGGGGGGAGAAAGAACCACCGTAAGGACAAGAATGTATTTTTTATAAACCAACTTGTTTGGTAATTTTCTATAAACAAATTGTTTTACAATTGAGATTCTAGAGGTCACCGGTTAGCGAGAGTCTCATGCTACCTGTTGTTCTTAAAAAGTACAAGACTGCATTGATAATGCAGTACATCCAGCATTTTTTATTAAAAAAAAAAAAAATTCATACAACATTGGGAGATTTTAGACCTGTAACCCCTCTGGGCACAAGATGCCCACAGATGTTGATAAAGGATATGGGAATGATGTGGTTTATAAAAAATACATTTTAGTGAATACAATACATAGAGAAACATATGCTTCACTACTTAAGGTACCTATTCTCCTATGTTGGGAGAAAGAACTATAAGGATAAGAATGTAGCTGAGATCAACCAGCTGTAACAACTAATAATTTATTCATACCTTACTAAGTGCTTCTCTCCGCAATGCACCTTGCTTAGACCCAAAGCCAGCAGCAATCAGTACTTGACGCAATATTTCCACCCATGTTAGAGGATTCAGAGATTTTCTCCAGAACTCAACAACAAATTTCTGATTCTCAACCTGAAAGATTTGTTGGAAAAAATCAAAAACAGAAACACGATCTCTATATTTGTAGCAAAGTGTATAGCACACAAATAAACCAAAAATTCACTACCTGAACATCTTGGCTTTATTGGCAAAGCTACAGACTATCTATGTAAAACTTAAAAAGAGACAAGTAATGTATCTAAGCCAAGTAGTAGGGATTATTTTAACATCAATATATTCTCACTTCATTTTTTAATTTTTTTTCTTTGTGGCTGTGTGCATTCAGTAAACCAATTAATCATATATCTTACCCACAAACAGACAAGTAAAATTAATCACAAGTAGTTGTTCGACTTCCATGACCATGGTTTGTTTCTTTCTTAAGGAATGACTTTGATCTTGAAATTTTGATATTTGTACCTCAGCTTAGCGGCCCAGTTACAAGAAAAACTTATATTCAAGAGAAACCATGGAACTTCATTCTTTAGCTGAAATATATAACTCATCTAATAAATGGTTCACAAAAAATTTAAAATCAAGCATGTTTATCTAAATCAAACTCAACCAATAAAAAAACCTTAATGCTATACTACATATTTTCATAAACTAATACCCAAGCTCATTCAATTTATCCAGGCAATGCAAGACATGTTAACAAATTATTTACTAAACAAAAAAAAACAAGTCAGTTTCAAGGAATATCCCTTCCCTATAAGTATTTCCAAACACGCACACCTTAATCTGCATATTCATGTACTCACCGAATGAAGCAAAGCAAGAAACTTGCAAGATACACTTAAATGAGGCAAAACCCCAGTGCTCAGCTCCATTTCAACATCAAACAACAGAAGCTTGAGAAGAGACACATGAATTTTACCAAGTAACAAGGATTCCTGAGTAAACACATGGAAAGGGAGAAATATATCAAAATCGAAAAGCATATGTAAGTCATTAAAGGAGTCTTCTCCCTCCTATTTCTTTCTATTTTTTGATGGAGATTATGCAGCAATAAGTACAATATTAAAATCAAATATGAGAAATAACCTTGTCATGAAATGCCTGAGCAAACTCATCAAGTGTGAAGGGGCATATATCCATTTTTACAGAATACGTATAGAGGAAATGGAAGACCTGCCAAAGACATTTGATTTGAACCTACATTCAGTGAGCTATTTGAGCACAGAAAGAAGAGTGACATTGCACAAGGTTTAGTGATAAGATCCTTAAGTTGACTTCATCACCAGTTTTTTTTCTTGGTTAACAGCAAAATATTATACATTTATGCGTTTTATCCAGGAACTCATACACAAATATACCATGATCAACTAAACTGTTAGACAAGTCAAGTCATTAACATTCCAAGTTCCTACCATAAAGAGCTTATGCCCAAATTACTTTAAATAAAAGAAAATAAACAATTAAGGCCCCAAGTTCCTACCATAAAGAGCTTATGCCCAAATTACTTTAAATAAAAGAAAATAAACAATTAAGGCCCAGTTGACTTCCTTTAAAACTTGAAAACTAAGCTGTTTTGAAACAGAGAGGAGAGAAAGAATTATGAAAGATATATGGCAGATCAAGCACAATAACTTTCGGAACATGAATGGGCAAATTAATTACATGACAGCATAAATTCTTTTCTAGTTTGAAGCTAAAAGAATGAGAATTTCAAATACTTTAATTTTCAAGATTTCATTCAAAGATGAGGATTTCCAGCATATGCACGTCTCATGCACGTCCTATCTTCCCTTTTCAAAAGAACAAAATGACTTAGAAGAGCAGTAACAACTCTAGAGTTTTCACATACCTTAAACAGTTTCTTCACAGTTTCTGGACAAGAATCCCATGGTTGCATACCAAAAGGCAGCTTCATCTTAACGGAATTAGGAGGAAACTTGGGCAGCAAATCTGAAGAATGACAAACAAATCCTCATAGCAGCAATCCCAAAGTTTCTTCTTGCACATTTATAATATAAAGAAACTCGTTTTTACCATTCTCATATATACAATAAAAAAACCACCAACCTCGGCAAAGTGAACAACCAAATACCCCACCGGTCCCAAGATGATCAGAACATTTTTGTGGATTGGACCCTACTTGTAACTCTCTCAACTCCAACTCTTCATCATCAACTAGCATTGCCAATTGATCAAGGCATTCACTAGATGAAATTGCTTCAAGAGCAAGTTCGCATTTCTCTTTGCAAGGCTGCTTATGACTGTCATTTCTGTTAGATTCGACCTAGCATATCAACAGGCAAGCAATTGTCAAAAAACAATAGTTAAATGAAACTAGTAACTGAATAATGCAGCAAAAAAGTCCATGCTTACCTCTCTCCTTCTAACAGATCGTCTTTTCTTTTCCTGTAACTCCTTTTCTAACCTTTTCTTTTTCTGGAATGAGCAACTTACCATTAGCAAGTTTCTAAAATATAACTACCAAGGTCTAATCTAAGAAATCAAAAACTAAGATATCCCCATCCATTTGTCATGAGGATAAAAAAGAAAGGGTAAAAAATTGAAATCAACATAAAACTTTGTGAGAGCCAAAACAGATAACTGACCAATAGAGAAACAACTGGCTGTTGTTTTTTGAACAGAGGTAATGGTTTCTGTAATGCAAGAGTTGATATCTGGGGAAGATCATCAATTTGTCCATCAGACGATTCAATTCCAGGAGGTAAATTTCCACCTTGAGGATTTACAACCCGCCAAACTGTCATCAAACCCTTCCCCATACCATGCTTTGTCACTGGAGCACTCTCCTTGTTGTTATTCTGATAAACCATGGTGGCAAGCTCAGAAACCTTCAAATGGGAGGGGCAAAGTAGAAAGGAAAGAAAAAGAGAACACAATATGAGAGTAATTTGTGAAGGTAGAATGTCATATGAACATTTTAAAATGCTAACCACTTACCTTTCTCTTTTTAGATGCTCCTCTTCTGCACTCTTGCTCATCAGAATATGAATTCTTTGAACCTAAACACAGAATGAGCAAAAACTTAATATAAATAAACAAGGGGAACAGAACATTAAATATTAGAACTAGAGACACAAATTACAAAGTATGGGCGCAGCAAAAATATAGATGTAAAGGAGATCAGAAATGAACTAGCCAATTTTGACAAAGATTTTGATGTATAAACTAGAAATACTAGTTGCTACCTTATTTTAGATTTTGAATAAGTAGAAGTAATATATAGTAATATGTAAAAAGCAATCCCAATTCTTCATCTTCTATAAGGAAGGCACAATCTTTACATGCCCAGTCTACAACCAACAGACACTGTCAGGATTATAATCTAAGTTTATTCTCTAGAAAAATCATATATATATATATATATATATATATAAACTAGCTGATAATGCATCTAATTAAAACAGCAAGTTCACAATTGAGTTTACACTGGCGAAACTGCTGGAGAGGAGAATCAAATTCGGCACCAAGAGTTGGACCATCCTTGCGAAACACCTTGGCCAGAATGTAGCCTGGAGTCATCAAATCCTGAATAAGCCTGCTTTTCCTTTCTTCCCCACCAGATGTCTTTGTTCTGTTACAAATTAGGGGATCCCGTTGCTTAAGATTCTCAGCTCCCCCATCTTTCTTCTTCCTTCTTCTCTTGTCACTGAACCATTTCCGAACCTGCTCATATGTCAATTCCAAAGCTGCAGCATAGTCTTCTATCTTCTTATGTGTAGGATTTTCCCCCTCTGATTCACATGGCAACAGGATACCGATCAACTCAAAAAGCACAAATCCATGATACTAAAAGAGGTACAATGGACTAGAATACCCAAAGTGACGCACCTGCATAGAATTTCTCAAGAGCTTGAACCTGAAACTCCGATTTCCTCTTCATTTTGGCTGAACTCTCCTCTTGTTTTGAATCAAGTATCTAATTAGATAAAATATAAACGAATTCCAGATCCCAGAAACTCAAAACCCATTCTGCCATTCACAAACAAAGAAAAATAAAATACCCATCAGAGAAGAACTAAAAGGAAAACAGAAATTCAAGGAAAAAAATGTAAGAATTAAAACAGACAAGGAAACCGAGTGCTATCATCATAACTCAATAAGAACACTACATCAAAACTAATTCTGATTCATATATCATCCAAGATATCTGGACGAACTAAGAAAACCCATCAGAAAACAATTCTCTGTACCACTTCAGTGTGAAGTAAACATGTTTTCTCTCCGAATTCGAATTTGTAGAGAAGAATCATGGATAAATAGAAAAATTGAAGTCAAAAAGGGAAATTGGGCACCAGTAGAAATGGAGAACCACAAGAGTAGAAAACATAAAAACCATAATCGTAAGGGCAGATTAGCCAATCGGAGAAGATGAAGATGAAGATGAAGATGAAGATGAAGATGAAGATGAAGAAGAAGATGAAGATGAAGAAGAAGATGAAGAAGAAGAACTGACTTACTAGTACTGTGCTTCGTGAGGAAGATAGCAGAAGATACCGTGAGGAGCAGTAGGGTTTTGGGTTTTATCAAGAAATCCAGAGGGGTGGAGGGTTTTAGTGTTTCTTTTTACAGTTTCCATAAAATATCTTTTAATTCATTTTTCTCTCTCCTCCGAATTATCTCCATGCCATCCAACATGTTTAGGGCTCACATCAGTTTTTTGGGCCAATTTCTCACGGCCCAAAAAAAATTCAGAGTGGATATTGCTGGGTCACGCCGTCAAACTTAATGAAAACTGGACACTCTTTTTTGGGAGGTGGGCACAGTAAAGCTCTTAACCAATAACCATTGGTAGTTGTGAGTAAGTCATGAGATAATCGAATTAAATTTGATTTAATTTTGATTTATTTAATAAATTAATCAAGTTTATGTTTAATATTGAGTTAATAAAAAAATGAGTGTTGAGTTTGAGTTTTCATAATTATTTTTGGATACTTAGCTTCAAATTAAAAATTAGATTATATATTTATTAAATAAATTTAAATATATAATAATTTAAAAACTTAACGATTATTGGATTTATGTTTAAACTTTTGGTATTACAATGTTTTTAAAAAATGTAAAAAAAATTATGGTTAAATAATTACTCTCCATTTATTTTTAGTGGATTTAGTTTATTATTTGGGTGTTGAAATTTAATTGTTCATTTTTTTAAGATATCATTTAATGCGTTTATTTTTATTTTATTTTCATTTTAAAAAGATAATTATAACATATATTAAATAAAAAAATTATTTAAATAATAATTAATTAAGAATAAATATGAAATTTTATTAATAAATTATTATATTTTTATTTTATTTTAAAAAAACTAGATTTATTAAGAATAAACAACATGAATAGTTATTAAAACATTTTAAAATTACAGAAAAAACTCGAATTCAAGTTAAAGTATTTATTGATTCAAGCTCTTAAGCAACCTTAAACTTGCTAGTCACGAGTTCGAGCATAAATTTAACTATTTTAAGTTCAACAAATACTAAAATTCGAATTTTTAACATGAGTTTGAACACAAAGACATAGATACTCAACTTGTTAACAATAGTAGGCAATGGGCCCCAATAGCATGGTCATCTTAGCATTTAATTGATTGAGAAATTAAAAAGATGTCAGAAAATCCTCTAATATAATGTTATATCATATTTATTTATATTAAACGATGTAATATTAATATTTTATTTAATATGATTGTAATTTTTATTTTTAATTTTTGAATTTTAAATAATTAAAATTGATAATTAAAATTAAAAATTAAAATTACCAACTTATTAAATATAAAATTTTAAATTAAATACTTAAAATTGAAACTCAAAATAAAAGCAATCATATTAAATAAAATTTAAATAAATAGATACATATAATAAAATAAATGATATGCAAATTGTGTTTAAAGTCATTGATGAGGGCAGGGCCCTACGTCGGATTACAAAACCACTTTCTCTACATATAGATCATAAGTGACATCTCAAATAAAAAAAAAAAGTTAATATAATGCTAAATAATATTAGAAAATAATATTCAGGGGTCATTCTGATTTAAAAAAAGTTTAAGAACTAAATCAATTCTAATCTCAAAGTGTAGGTGGTGTTTTAACCTAAATATGCTGGGTTCTTTGAGTCTCAACAAATGTGCTTGCTAACACAAAATTTGAGGCCCAAGCCCGTAGTTAAATGCAACGAGTCGAGGCCGGGTCTGAGCCAGCCCCGGGGATCCCATCTCTATTCAACAAATCCCAGTGTTTTCTTCACGACGTTTCAACTTCACATCTGCCATTTTGTTGGAAATTTTGGTAGGTCTTCTTCTCCGGCGAAACTCGAAGATGCAGGAAAAAATACAAGACAAACGCCCTCCGCTTAAATCCCATCCTCGTTTCAACAATTACCCATTTTGGAAAGACAAAGTTCGTCATTCTTTCCATCTGTGTTTCACCCTACTTTGCTCAAAATTTTTTGTTATTCTTGCGTTACATGATATGAGATTTTTGTTCCTTGATAATTCTTCCTTAGCCAATATTTTTGTTGTTCTGACTTATGGGAACTTGGGTTTTTTTTATGTTCTGTTAGTGGTCTTCACTATGATAGACGGAATTGATTTTTTTTTTTTTTTTTTTTTAACTTTTGATTATGTGTAGCTGAGGGAAAACTGTTACAAAAGGGTACGAGAGGATCGAACCAGTTTGCTTTGGAAACTGAGGGTGCCTGCTGCTCAAGCAATTAATGACAAGGTTTTTTTTTTTTTTTTTTGGCAATTTAAAAACCCATTTTTCTCTTGTTTTATTTTAACGATATTGCAGGGTAATTGTATTTCTGCCTGCTTACCACTTGTTTCTGTAATAACTACCTTCGTGGATTGTGTTTAGTTAGTGGGTTGGTGCATAAGGTACCAGAGTGCTTTTCCTTATTGAGAATTTACCTGCAGCTTATTATAGGCCTTTGGACTGGTGCTATAGATAGATGGATTAAATGAACGTGGTCTAAGGAAATGGGAATAACTCGGAGTAGAAGTCTGAGTTGGCAGTAAATGTCTACGCTAAGAAGTTCTATGATAGGATAATGTTTTCATTGGTACCTGTTTTTGTATTAGGATGCTGTATTTTAAATATAGGATTTTTGCACTGGAGACTACTTAGTTAGGGCTTGAAAGTTGGAATTTGGAACAACTAGGTAAAGAAGGTTGAAACTGTTGATTCATCTTCTGAGAAAGATATTAAGTTTTTTGTTTTCTATGTCATTGGAAGTATGTGACTATAGGGGAATTTAGCCCAAATCAACCATGCAAACAGAAGCAATAAAGAAAAGAAATCACATACTGGTTTAGCTTGTTCTTTTTCTCAAATTCCCTATGTCTATAGGAAAGAGAGAAATCAATCCATTAATTAAGAGAAGAGTTCAGTATGGAAGCATTCTCACTCATGAAAATAACATCAAAACCCAGCTCACTTTCTCAGTAGTAGATGTTCACCACAATTTTCTCTCAATTCTCAGCTCTCACACAATTCTCTCACTCCTGTGTTTACTAGTAACATGTCTTTTTGGTGTAGATTTACTTGGAAATCAAGTTGGGGTCAAATAAGGAAACAAAATCTAACCTAAACTCCAAATCTCTGCATCAGGGTTTGAATGTGCCAAATGGATTTGGATCCAAACCCTCAGGATTTGAATCTTCCAGAACTCCAAATTCAAAACACTTCCTCACACCAACTTTGACGTTTATTTTGCTATGGGGACCTCATAGGCACAAGTCCTAATTATTTCATGGTGAATGTGAGAAAATGCATTTTGGAAGGCAGAATCCATAAAGCTTCCAAACTTAAAAGAGTTAAATTGGTAGACTTGTGCCTATGAGTACTCAAACAAATTTCATGCACTTCTTGCTGAAATGATTTTGTTTTTCCATTGCATACTTACTTTCTTTTATTTTTTCAGGAGTTCATTAAATCTGCCTTTCAGGACATAGTTTCTGATGAACTGAAAAAAATCAAGGATTCATCAGTAAGTGACCGTTTAGATATCCCAACTTCTGACCTCAAATCTGATGATTTACTATGGGAATACAATGGTCTTCAAGATGCTTATGAAGGTGATTGTGAAGAGATGTTGTTAGAAATGCAAAGGATTTTTTATGAGGATCTGCGAGCTGAATCAACTAGAAAAGGTGACATATCTTTATTCTTTTATTTACAGTCTGGCAGGTTTTCTGGTTCTGCTGAGAAAAATCTTGATTATCCACAACTGGTTTATTTTATTATAAGGTTTTCTTCAGCTGCTTATTTCCCTGTTGTTTTATGAGGCATATGAAATGAGAATGCTGAACAAATTAACTTGGCCACTCGATTAATTTTTGCAAACCATTGTAATTTATTCCTTTGTTATGTATTTTATGTATGTGGGAAAATGCTTGTCTGTATGTGTATTTTTGAAGGCTAAGAGTGGTCAAGTCATCTTTTTGAACATAGATGTTTACTCTAGTTCTTTGCAGAACCAGAACGCCAGATAGATACATGGGAAGATCAAGAGGATGAGTATTTGGCTCGTGCAGTTTTTGAGCATATGCAATTGAATGATGAGCAGGTATGATGACTTCAGTTATGAGGATGATAACTGTATAATTTCTTATATATTTTAAAGTAGTATACTTTCTACAAACATGTTATATGTACAGTAGATCCAAATCTTTCTCCCCCGAAAACAAAAATGGGAGGGAAAATCTCACTTAAATTTTCCCAAGCCGAGGGAATGCATTTTCTGTTTTGGTATCTGACAAGGTTTTTATATTTGTGCAAATATCATATTGAGAATTTTTTTATATCATTATCAACCATTTGCAATCAGTTTCTGTTCTACCTGTTTTTTGAAACCAATGAAATCATTGAAGTCTTTTGCTTTTAGGTGCCTAAGCAGATTTGGTGTCCTGTATGTAAGGAAGGAGCATTGCAAGAGAATGATCAACATATTTATTGCACTCTTTGCAAATTTCAGCTTGACAGAGATAATGAGGTGCTTCTTTCAAAACTGAGCTCGTTTTTAGAATCTTTTATTGCATGTAAAGTTTTTTAACTAATCTGAATTTATGAGCACAATGTGCAGTTTTAGTCACAGTTTTGAGCATTGCTGTAGGCTCTGTGTGGACAGCAGTAACTTTGTTCAACATTTTGACCAATTAACATATCTTTCATTCAGGTTAATTTGGATTTTTTGAGGGATCGTCTAGCTGAAGCCCATGCTGACCATTTTGAACGGGGCTGCAGAGGGAAACCAAAGTTTTCACTAGAGTCTCAGTTCGGTTTAACTGCATTGTATATCCGTTGCCAGGCCTGCAATACCTTTGAGGTTGTCATATAGCTTGTCTTATACTTTAGTATATTGGAAGTTGGATGCTTAGCATTGCAAAGGTTCCTTAACCTTGATAATAAATCAAGGTTTTACTGTTCGCACTTACCAACTAAGCAAAATGCATTTGTTTTTTTGGTAGTAGCTTCAGTCTTCCCTGTCAATGCTTCAAATCAGGCTTCAATGTTCTGCATGCATCTCAAAAATTTTCTGAGCAAGATGTCGTAAATTTTGATTTCTTACGCATCACGGTGAAATCTTGTTTTCATTAGTGACAAACATACGCCTTTCACCTCCCCTCCAAAAAAAAAAAAAAAGGAGAGAGAAGAACAGTTATATAAACTCATGTAAATTTCATTCATGTGAAATGTCATCTTGGAGCGCTTCATTGGACGTAGTGCGGTGAAATCATATTTGGATTGGAAATCTTATTAGGCTCCCAAATTGAGTCTCACCGAAATAGGTAGGAAATAATTTAAAAAGTGAAAGGGGTATGTTCTGCCACAATACAATAATGCAATGTCATGTCATGCTGTTTTCTTAAAATTAAGTACCTTTACATAGAATCAATCTAGATATAGATGTGTTATTGATTATTTTAAAAAGTAAACACAAAAAGGAATTTTTTTAGTAACTCTCCCTCCATGTAATCGATTTTCATTAGAATGACTGAAAGAATGTTAGTTTAAAAATAAATTCTGTGTTTAAAAAGAGATGTTTTTTTATAGAATGAGTTAGTAATATGTCTTAAACAATCTGAGACACTTTACCAATACAATGAATCTAAAGTTAATATGTAGGGATAAAGCAATCATCATTATTCTCCAAAATCAATTTTTACACAACAGATAATTTGAATCTCAACCACTAAACTCATCTTATCCATTAACACTTAGTATCACTTAAAAATTATAATTTATGACGTAAACACATGCATATCAAGTGAACTTTTTTATTCTTTAGTTGTTGTAGTCGGATTAATGACATGTAAATAATTTTTTATAATTGTTTATATAATTTTTATATATAATTAAACAAATAAACACATAAAATATTACAAGTTTAATAAAATAAAAAATTTAATTATTAAATAATATATCAAATTGCACGAATAAAATTATAAAAAGATTATTTTTCAATCATATCATTATCATTTTCCTTGAATGAAGTAGCAACGCACCAAGTGAGAATTCTTTTCTGACCCTGGAAATAAAACTCTAACGATTATATGCAGGGGTTTCCACTGCCCCAACCTTCTGGTACAAAAAATTGTACCCTTTTTTTTTTTTACAAACCCCTCATCATCCAGCAGGGACATTAGGCCCCCTAATTCAGAGTCTTCAAGTTATACTGCATCACCCTATAAGTAGTAGGAAATTCTCCTACACCTGTTTTTTTATCTATAAGACTCACACTCAAATTCTTATTTAAGAAAAACTAAACTCCATTCACTCGAAAAAATTGAACTCATTCATTCGAACTACTAGATCGTTGATAACTATTATATATAAAAGTATCAACTCATCAAGTGAGAATTTTTTTTTTTGAACGTGGAAATAAGACTATAATGATTATATACCAGAGTTTCCACTTCCCACTTCCCAGTACAAAAAATCATACATTGCTCATACTGTTTTAATATCAATAGAACATATTGGTATTCACTCAACATATCAATATCTATTGTCAGAACAAAAGGGTAAGAACACCCATTAAAATGAACATATATAGAAGAATAAACACAAAAATTACCTTCATGAGATGAAGCAAAAGGGATAATTGATAACCCAACCGATTTTGCTGAATGATAATCTACACCCAACAGGGAGAATCCAACTTCAATGTACATGAGCCGGATAAAATTAATGTACATCAACATGAACAAAGAAGAGTTCACCCTTCCGACATCTCAGCAGCTATTTTGCACCACAGTCCTAAACCCCCCATTAACAGCCGAGCTGATACAACAAACCGTCAATGGAAGCAGACAATGGTTAGCAGATTGAGCGTCTAGCCACTGGAACAGTCAGGTATGGGAATCATCAATGATTAGTTTGCCAAACCATGGAATTTGAGCTCAAATACCGTTCAGAAAAGCTCCTCTGAATTGAATTTGTTCCATGCTTCCTATGTTGAAATAAGAGCAGTCAAATACCGAGTGCAACGGAATAAGATGTAATGAACAAGAATAGTTAGTTAGTATCACAACACTTTGCAAGGGCATTGTGAAGCGCTTCAAGCCAAAAAAGCAAAAGTACCTTAAGCAAGTCAAAAACCTTCTCTGCGATATATTTCTGTTGAAGATTGGCACCTTTTTGTTGCACTTTATCAGGATGGATGCATAGAGTCGCTTTCCTGTAAACTTTTTTAACTGAGGCAGCAGTGATCAAATCAGTCAAAGAGACAGGCTGCCAACCACATTCAGGCCAAAGCACCTATCATCACAGAACAAAATTCAGGATCAGGAGAGAACTTGGTTAAACAGTAACATATCAGTCATTAGCAACTTAAGTTTTATGATTACACCATAACAAAAGAAAACCAGTATAATAACAAAGTTGTAAAGTAAGCTCGACCTGAAAAAGCAGTAGTTTTCTTGTTGTAGCAATCATCTTATTTGAATTTTCAAGCAGAAAATAGAATCTCCAAACAATTGCTTTAACATGCATGCATGCATGCAAAGAATGTAATTCATAGATAAGAAGCAAAAACATACAAAAAAATAGTCAGGTTAAGGGATGTCTTGGAATTTAGTTAGTTTAAAGGAGAACTAAAATGCCTGCAGAAACGGTCAACTACATATACTTTTCTAATGTTACTTGATAGGATCCTTCAAATAAATTACAGGATGTCCTGGATTTCAACAAGATGCATAGCATGCTTATCATTAAACATTTACTATTATGCATTAGTAATAGCTTAAACTCAACTGCCTACTTTGAAGGACAAGAGGTATCTCCAATGGTTGAACATTATGTTCATAATAGAGCTAAGTCCTTGCTACAAGCACTAGTTTATGATAGAAAAACACAGAAGTCGCTGCCATCATTTGAAGTGCAACAAATCCAAGTTTATTTCTTTCAATAAGCGAAATGTGTTTATTTTGATTCTGCATACTACAAAATCTTTGAGTCGAGATACAAAAATCAATTAGGGTGTAGAAGCACCTAGCAGGAAGATGATACCATGATAATATAGAATATAAAAATATATATATATTTAGAAAGCAATATGGTAATAAAATAACAATTAAAGAAGCAATCAATGCCTTCCCTCTTCTTCGAATGTGATATAAGGAGGTCTAAACCAGCTTTTCTCAAAAGCATGTATTACAGGAACAGAGGGAAGTATGAAAGAAGTATAATATTAGATCATGAAATTGAGACAATAAGATGAGAACAATACCGTGTTATCAACACACCAAGCATGATATAGCACAACAGAATAAACAGCCAAAAGACTGACATAAGCACAGGATATATGATGGTCTGCCCCTACATATAACATTATGCAAAAAAGGGAAAATAAAACAACAACAACCCACATATTGCAATGTTGATAGCAGAGCACGTAAATTTCCCTCTTTTCCAGCAGCCCAACGCTTGATCTCAACATCTAGTGTTTCAGCAATCCTCTGAAATCAGAGCAGAACAGTATCAGACCAACAACAAAACAAGATAAAGAGTTGAAGGTGCACATATTTTCAAGTAAAAATACTCAAAAACACACCCATGGAAATAATTTATGAAACATTATCCTCAGAATTTTGATGCCTTAATGTTTTAAGACAATCAATCATGATACCATCCAAACCCAAATTCTTAAAACTAGGAGATTGAGACTTAGGCAGGATGAATATAAATCCAAGCTCACCAAATCCAAAAGTTAAATAACTTTTGAAACCCTGACCCATCTGCAGGGATCTCTGAGACCTCAAAATCCAAGCCCAAACAAATAAAAATTCTATAGGTTCAGCTTGGGCTTGGTCTTCAGGCCAAAAAACATGTTTGGGCTTGATCTGACTTGTGATTCAAATTCAAATTGGCTTAGACAAGGTTGGTGATGCATGGTTTCAGTTTTGGACAGTATCCAGGGTTGTCTTACAATGCAATGGAGTTAACATATTAGGTATGTTAAACGCCTTCCTATGAATGTTTATGCTCC